ATATTGTCTATGCTACTAATATATCCTTATGTTATAAGTTTCAAAGCATTTCATCGAAAATTTAAAAAGTTACGCCTATATCAATTAAATCGGTCATTTCACATGTTGCACGTGCACGCTCTTGCAAGCACGTGCACGCAAAATGACCTTCGTTCCGCAAATCTACATAACATGTCTACTGACCCTAAAAACATTTCACCTTAGTCGGATGTATAGTTTACGAGATCATTCCCGGACAAAAAAGTACCCAGGAAGAAGAAGAAGAAGAAGAAGAAGAAAAATAATAATAACTAGTGCTAATTGTAACGGGGACCGTTACAGATGTTCCCCAAACGCTCCCCAACTCCCTTTTGGTGCCATATTCCCTGTAATCTCTATTAAATAAGAAATACTTGAAGGAATTTAGACTTAATCAAGGTCTTCCCAGAAAAATACAAAATATATTTAAAAATAGGCATTGCATGCGTGTTCATGTGCGTAACGACCATATTATTTTGTCTACACTATCTAAAATTTTAATATTACTTAATATCAAAGCATCTAATCCAAAAGTATTAAAAATATACTCATTCGAGTGTGTTTTTAATTTTACTCATTTCACGTGCACGCACGTGCATAATGACTACACCTTCTTGTAGGAGTCCCTTATATTTATCTATGTTCTAAATCCCATCCTGTTTGGTTGACAAAAACAAGGGAGTTATAGCAATTTGAAGTTTCAGCCAATCAGATTGCAGCACACGTGCATGCGCGTGATTTCATGAATTTTTTTCTATATCATATTTTAGGATATCCTAATGCATGGCTATGTTTTAAATTTCAAAGCATTTCGTCGAAAAACAAAGGAGATATGACCATTTAAAGTTTCAGCCAATTAGATTGCAGCACACGTGCATGCGCGTGATTTCATGAATTTTTTTCTATATCATATTTTAGGATATCCTAATGCATGGCTATGTTTTAAATTTCAAAGCATTTCGTCGAAAAACAAAGGAGATATAGCCATTTAAAGTTTCAGCCAATCAGATTGCAGCACATGTGCATGCGCATGCTTTCATGAACATTCTTATATATCATGCTGTAGATCTTCATAATGTAGGACTATGTTCAAAATTTCAAAGGATTATGACAAGAAACAAGAAAGATATTGAGACTTAAGTTTCAGCCAATCAGAGCGAAGCGCACGTGCATGCGGGTGAGTTCTTGCTATTTTGACCATGTCAGCTTGTCTTTACTACGAATGTATCCTTACATTATGAGTTTCAAAAAATTTCATCAAAAAATAGAAAAGTTACGGCAATATCCATTATATTGGTCATTTCACGTGTTGCACGTGCGTGCTCTTGCAAGCACGTGCGCGCAAAATGACCTTGATTCCGCAAATCTACATAACATGTCTACTGACCCTAAAAAGGTTTTACCTACATCGGACGAACAGTTTACAAGATCATTCCCGGACAAAAAAGTACCCAGGAAGAAGAAGAAGAAAAATAATAATAACTAGATACGATCTCGTTGCGAGCAACGAGAGGTCTTCCGTCCGATTCAGGAAAAAAAAACTTGTAAAATCGAACTAAAAAGTGATTAAAAATTTTGATCACAAGGAGGAGTGAATCCAGGTCGCCAACGTGAATGCGCCTTTTTTTTCTCTTTTCTCCCCAATGCGCGAACCATTTAGCTATTGGGAATACTGCTTTAAATATACTTGTGTATACTTTTGCAACAGTACACCTGTCTAAGAATCATAAAAGGCGGGACACTATTCATAATTTCGTGTCAAACGCCACGCATAAATATTCGCACCTTTTCTTTGTACTGATCTATTAAAGAGGTGCAATAGCTTCAATGAAATTAATTAAATAAAACATTCTTATCACCTTTATTTTATTTCGGCGTTAGGAAAGTATATTTAACACATTGTACACATTACATATCGTATCTAGCCCAGTAACACTAAAGCAGTGAAACGTAAATTAAGTTTTTTTAAGATTGACACTGAATTGCAACGTTCTACTACGTGAGAGTCCAAGTAGTTTTTTGCATTTCATGTATCCTTACGTCAGAATGGTTGAATCAAACGCTCAGCTGCCTCCATAAGCCCCTACTCGCGAAATGACGGAGTTGACAGAGACAGCCGCCATCTTGGGCCCGCTTCAGATTTTCAAATATCAATATCTAGAGTTCAGATTAACCAATATTAAAACAACTTATATAGTAAGCATCAATAGAAGTGTCTCTATTAATATTCCAAAAATAAATGAAAAATATTGAAAAACAAAGAAAGTTGAAAATTTGGACTTTTTGAATTGGCTTCCGGTAGCGACAGGAAGTACTGACGACGAACAAAAAGTTGCGTCCTGGAAAGCATTGATCATCATCTATAAACTCTGAAAGTTTCACATTGATATCTTTTACCATTTTTGAGTTTAATCGTGGACAAAATGTCATTTTAAAATCAGGAAAATGGTCCAAAACTTGGCACCAGAGAGGAATTTCCAAAAACTGTCTTGGAACTTTCAAGAGTATCTTACAACACATCTTTCCTGAAAATTTCATGTAATTCTATCCAGTAGTTGTCGAGATATCGTGTCAGAAAAATAATAATAATAATAATAATAAGAAACAGAGCAATAACTATAAGGTCTTCCGTGAAGACGGAAGACCTTAATAATAATAATAATAATAAGAAACAGAGTAAAAACAATATGTTCCCCAACTTCGTTTGGGGAACATAATAAGAAACAGAGTAAAAACAATATGTTCCCCAACTTCGTTTAGGGAACATAATTAGAACCGGTGTGTATACTACACTAGTGAGAATTCTACTGTACATCGCACCAAAAGTCTCTGATATTATCCATTATTATCCGGTGGTCACGGAGATCTTCAGTCTTGATTCCGCGAGGAACCTTGGGCTGACAGAAAGAATGTTAGAGGTGATAAGAAGTTCAGGGTCGTTACCTATAAAAGAATCATAACAATTACATCATAGTACATACGTTATTCTATTTAAAATATATAGGCTAGTTTGCTACATGTAGCACACACTGATACCCTTTGAATATTTCTAAATTCTTTTTTTTTTTTAGATATTCTTTTAAAACATGAATTTTCTTCTTGGGGAATGTTTATGACTATATTTAGAATTAAAACAAAGCAAATTAAATATTCTAAAGAGCAAAATGTTTAGCAAATAAACAGCAAAAAAGTAATTTATAACTTTTCTCATCTTCAATTGTTAAAATATCATTTTTTTAAAATTTCATTCCCCTGTTACCTAAAAGAAAGTTTGGATCAGGCCGTAGACCACAATCAAATTGAACTAAATTACTTTAAATTAATTGTATTTCTTTATTTTAATAACTTGGAAAATACTATAGTAGATAGAAACTCATTTAACCTGCAATATTTCTTCATAAATCGCTGCAAAAAGATACACTTGTAGAAGCTAGAAGCTGTTTGCAATGAAGTTCCTACCAAAGAAATCAGTACAAACATTATGACCATGTCTTTCTATAGTTAATAAGTATACATGTGTAGTATCTATAGAGATAAGGGTTTTCTCAGCATTAATTATATATATACATGCAGAAAAGCACTGAGTAATCTTATGGCACTTACCGACATTTAGCTCACCCGAAGAAGACTCGAGGTGTTTTAAGTTCTGAGAATTTTAAATATTATACACAAAGAGTATTGTTTAGGATGTTGACGTACCAACTTATGCTGATGCCGTGAATTATTCAAATCATTCACTTGTTCTTCAACAATTTCAAATTGATGTAAACTTTGTTTTTTATTGGTATTCTGCGTGGTAGGAAGGTTGAGGGTTCGTTTTATTTAAAGAATGGTTTTCTATTGAGGTTCAAGTATTTGTCAGTCTCTTCGAGTTGAGCCTGGTTCTTAGTATAGATTCAGTTAAAAACAATACTTATTTTTACCACAGGAGTTGCCATTCATGTACCTATTAGTTTTACCGAAATTTGCAGTTAATATAAAACTTAATACCTATGATAATATCAAAATTTTAATATAATGTTATTATCATAGGTATTACGTATGTGTTGTGTTTACTGAAAATTTCGGTAAAAATGTGTACGCCAATTTGTTCTTACGCGAGGAGTGCTGACTTTTCCAGTTGACGGCTTACTTTCACACTAGGACAATGTACGATATAGATTTTTAGCTCAACGTTTAATTCAACGAGAAGAACAAATTAAGTTATTTTTAAAGCACAAATAAGTTGTCCTTGAAGAAAACGACAACCATCCTAGCCTCAACTCCTGCCTCCACATGTTGATGCCCCTCCTATGATCACTAGGAAGGTTTTCTTATCTATTATCAATTCTGTACCTCCGTACATGATATTGGTTTAAATGTCAAAGTAAATCGTCAACTGTAAAAGTCAGTGCTTCTAGCAAAAGTCAGAGGAGATAATTATGGAAATTTCTTTTGTACCTTACCAATGATATTAGAAGTAGATCACAAAACGCATAAAATTAATATGTACATATTTTTTCGAGGTTGCCAAACTGCATTTTAAACAAATTGCTTTCTTCATTTTCTTCTCTTGAAAAACATATTTCAGAGTTTAAAATAACAGTTATAAAAAACACCAATCAAACATCGGTAAAACAAATTAAATTCACTTTAACATCTCCCAAATACAATCTACGGGAATACTAGTAATTCGGCATATTTCACTTATTCCTTGATAATGTTGTTGTAGCAATAATATACAGTGGACCCTCATTTATCCGGACGCTTTGGTTCCCAGTCAATTTGTCCGGATATGTGAAGCATCCGGATATCTGATTCACCAGTTAAACAAGAAATAATAACATTTAAAAATTTCGTTCCGATGAAAAATCGTCCGGATACTGAAGCATCCGGATATCTGGCGTCCGGATATCTGAAGGTCCACTGTATAACTGTTTGTAGAAACCTTACTATTTAACAAATTACAAGAATACATATTTTGAGAAGAACTTGTTCACAAGCATGAAAAATACAATTCGCTGTGTTTTAATGTATATCTAGAGAGAATTTCGCCTGAAGTAGTAAATCGGTTGATTATGTCCCTCACTGCACGTGAAGTAACCGTTCCCAAGGGAGTCCCATGCCACGGCCTCACCCTTATGTTCTTTGACGTGGGACACAACCACGGGGCTAATGGTACTGAGAGCCGTCAGATAGTCCATGTTGTCCACTCTCCAGTAATATATTGTATCGTGGGTTCTAAGGAGCACCTCGCGGCCGTTGGGGGATATGTCTCCACCCACAGGGTCGTTGTGAGTTGTGGGGGGAATATTAAGGGTACTTGTGTTAGTTATCTGGTAAGTAGAACTGCTAAGAAAAGCCGAGGAAGGAATCATCCCGATCTGCCCGACACCACCATGAACCTTTGATATAAGAATCACATTTCCATTTGGATCGACCATTACTGTTTCGGTATCGAGAACATTCCAACTGCAAATAGAACATTTTTTTCTTTCTAATTTTTATACAACCGTAGATGTAATTTGGTACGGAGATGCACAGCTGCAGAACTGTAGCATTATTGCATATTTGTAACATTTTTGACCATAACGTAATTGTCAAAGATTAAAGTACAAAACAATATCACTACAATGCCGCTAAAAATTGCAAAAATAGAAACTATATAGAATTGAAGCATCACTAATTGAATAGAGGTATATAACTGTAGTTTATAACTTTTCCTTACTCGTAATGGAGGGTAACCATAGGGTTAAGATCTCCGTCCGTTAGTAACAGGGGTTCCTCTACTACGTAAATGTTCTTCACACTTCCGTCCCCTGCGTGGTCCCCAGTATCACCTACAAAAGACTTAAAATCATACTACATAGACAGAAGACTACAGCCATGCTATACAGACAGATGAATTTGACTTCAATCATTCAGTTACACAATAAATAAATTTTGTCAGCTTTCGGGGATAACATTGGAAAACTCTGTCAAATTATTCAATATTGTTCCGTTTTGAAAATTTCATGATGAATTACTGGGAGACACGCTCTACGGGAGTTTTACCTATGTATATACAGGATTTTGTGGGTGCATTAGGACAGACCCCCACGGCGATATCCTCCCAGTCATAATTCCTGGCGTGATTAATGTTCAGCTCAGCGAGGACGCGTCCGGAGTCTGCGTCCACAGCGAATATTCTAGACGAGTCCCCTTTGTCATTATGTGTGTATAGGACACTGGCGTGAATCCTGCTGGACGCCAGACCAGAGGCCTCTGTTACTCGGTGGTCACTGATATCTCCAACGTTGAGTCCATGACTGAAAACGGGGGCTGAAGAACGTATAAAACGTCCGTTAGAAGAATGCAAAAGGAATAAAGGTCAGCACCATTACCAGATTCATATGTCAATGAAATATACGGAGATAACGAACAGTTTTTAAGCTAAATAGTCCATTCAAACAGGAGCAGAGCAATGACAGACCTCTAAAAAATCAGAGGTGGGATCAGGTGTCATGGAGGAGTGGCATCTACTGCCGACCGGTCACAAACACCGTGTGCTCTTTGTCATAATCGAAAAATAAGTAAAAATCCGTCGACAATTCAGTGTAAATAATGTCCTTACGATTAGTATGAAACATCTCAGTCAGCATTTGACTCAATGATAGATTTTATTTGCTGACAACGTCATTGTATACACCAAAGAACGTACGAAATGAAGACTGTAAAAGAGACTGTTGATATCCTTGTCTCATCAACTTGTTTGTCAATACCGGTATCTTGCCTCGTTTTAGAAACTAACCCAGATATACTACTGCGTATCGAATCAACTAAGAAATATAAACACCATATAAAATCCTTACAAACAAAATGCCTGTTCCAGTGAATGATCTACTCTTAACTCCTCACTAAAATACTAACATCAGTGAAGGGGGAATTTCAGGATTACTGTGCATCAGTGATAAGTAATGAAAATCAGATATGGATACTTAAAAGTTCAAATGAACTTTTGAAAATTTTGAAGTCACAAAATTTTACCTAAATCAACAACTTAAAAGCTTATGACTTTTCAACTTTTTATGCTACTATTCCCCCTAACAGGTCCAACGACATTTCAACTTCAACAACCATCCCCACGATAAATTAAAATATTTACATCATTGTCAGCTGCATTTTCAATAAAAATGGAACTCGAATATTTACCTACTTTGTCACTGGTCATTTGCAAAATTATTTTGTGAAAAAAAACAAAAAACATTTTGATTGTACACACAGGTACTCTGTAGTTTATAATTAAAAGAAGCTTCAGAGTTCTGATTGACAATATATTAGGTTTTGGAGATCAGGCCTTCCAACAATCTATTGGCCGGAATTCATATGGGTGCCAATTCTGCCCCATTATTAGCCGACCTATCATATTGTATTTATATGAAGTATAATTCTTCAAAAACTTAAGCGTGAAAAGAAGAAAACATTTGCTGAGGCCTTCAACTCGACTTTTAAAAAATGAGCTGGCCTACTGTTAATCAACAACGGTTATTTCCATTCGAATATCGATATACGATATATTATTGTGAGCTTGAAATAAAATATACTACAAAGTCTGACACATCTGTTTCATATTTGGAAATTAACTAGAAAAAGTCGATGGCAATCTAACAACCAATTTTATGATAAACATGATGACTTTTTCCTTTTCAATCGTCAACTTCCCTTGCTTATTCAGCGATATACCTTCATCACCTGCATATGGGGTTATATCTCTCAGTTGATTTGATACGCAAGAGCATGCTCTACGTACGAATAATGTCTAAAATCAAGATAAGATATCGACAGACAGTTTGATGAAACGATTCTCGTTTAAAGTCATAATTATCGTAAGCTCTATAGTCGATATGTTAGCTACAATGACTTTGTCAGCAAATACATTATCAAATACTGTCAAACACTGACTGACGTTTTTATATCAATTTTTAGACCATTATTTACACATTGAATTGTCGACGGATCTTTCTTTATTTTCCGATCTGACAAGGAGTACTGGGAGGATGTGACTGGTCGACAGGGGATGCTCACTAATCCATGGCACATGATCCTATCTTGATGTTTTAGAGGTCCGTATTTGCTCTGCTCCTGATTTTTATTGTTTGAATGGGCTTTTGAGCTCAAATACTGTTCGTATCTTTACATATTTCATCCATGTGATAAAGGTACATGTATATTGCTGCATAAGTGTCACTGTGGAAGGTTAACAATTGTAAAGTTAAAGTCATTACGTCTATCAGGATAGAGCTTGGTTGTTGGATTACCATTAACGTCTTTTACAAGTAAAATATCCAAACATAAAACAGATTTGTCAGACTTTGTGGTCTGGTGTCAGACCCTGTGATTTTAATTTCAAACTCACTGTGATATATCGTGTCCACATATGAATGGACATAACCATTGTTAATTGACAATACGTCGTTGATACTTAGTATATCTAAATGTCGAATTGAAGCTAACAGGAAGTGTTTTCTTTGTTCCATGTCAATTAATCTCATTAAATTGAGATTTCCAAGATCCGCGCCATGTACTCTCTGCGCAGTGTGAATAGAAAATAGTTATAAAGCAAAACTGTGGAAGTGGACAGAAAAAAAATGTTCAGTATCTTTGAATTTTAAGCAACAAGGGACTTCTTTGAGAGGATCGGCATTCTAACCTGTATGAATAGGCTGCAGTAAGGATCCCACCAAAAGAGATAACACCAAAGTCGTGACCATGTCCTCAGAGACCGATAGGTATACTATAGTGATACAATTTATCCCAACTTTATTTATACATGCGTGAAATCTTAGGCTCTAAACCTAATCTAATCACCTGAGAAAGATTTCAGAATTTTCATTAGTGATAAATATGATTTTTTAAAAAAAAAAAAAAAACTTTTTTCAATCTTAGAAATTCCGTTTGCTAATTTTAATGTTATCTAACATGTACTTTCACCAGATTTCTTCAGATTAGAAAAGATGATTTCAAGCCTATTGTCTTGTATCTTGTTTTTGTTTAAGTACCCTTAAATGACATATGCAGTGTACATGTTAAAAATCCTTGTACCATCACCTTATCTGCCTAGTTTTAGAATGAAATATATGGTGATAACCAACAGTATTCAAACGTTCATAAAACAATACAAAATTGGAGCAGAGCAAACAAGGACCTCCAAAACATCAGATGTTGTATCAGGTGCCATGATGGAGAGAGCATTCCCTGCCGACAGGTCACAGGCACCGTGTGCTCTTTGACGATCTGGAAAATCCGTCGACAGTTCCGTGTGTTAATAATGGCCTAACAATTAGTATGAAAATCATCAGTCAAAATTTGACCTATTGGTAGTTTGTATTTGCTGACAAGGTCATATTGTATTGACCATAGCACTTACGAAATGATGACTTTAAACGAGACTGTTGATATTCTTGTTTCAGTAATTTGTTTATCAATAATTTACCTCGTTTTAGAAATTGTTCATACATAGATCATTTGTACGTAAAGCATGTTCTTGCGTATAGAATCAACTGAGATATATATCAACCCCGTAAGCAGGTGATGAAGCTAGGTATATTGCTGCATAAGTAAGGGAAGTTGAGGACACTGACACATCTGTTCCATGTTTGGATATTTTATATGAGAAAGATATTGATGGCAAATTGACAACTAGCTTTTTGTAAACGTGATGACAAAGACTGATAAGTCATAACATATCGTCAAAGACTCTAAGTCCATTATTTATGAAGCAATATACAATGTACATGGAGTTTATATCTCACAGGTTTTGATACGCAAGATCATGATACAAAAGAACTACTTTTATTGTCAATTAACAATGGCAATTTCCATTCTTATATTCATACGATATATCCCGGTGAGCTTGAAATAAAATATACACAACAGTTTCTTCAATTTCGAGTGCAATCTTCCTATCAAAGGAAAGTAGGAATAAAACTAAATGTGGTTAATTTTCAACACGTCCTCATTATATCTGAACAAAGAAATGATTTCCACATCAAGAGTCTTTTTCTTCAAAAATACTGATACACTTGTATTTTGAATAAATTGTTAAATTAATTAAAGGGCGTTTAATTTCTTGAATATAAATTATATCGGAAAATAAATGCAGGGTATAAAAAAAATTATGACAAATACTAAAACGGATGCTGTTCAATAAAATATCAATAATTATAAAAAGTTTAGTAATGTACTTCTTTTTTTTCTCGTAAAAATATATATAAAGATCTGGAATTTTGCTAAAACTTCGAGGTGTGGGATTTTGACCATTTATTTTATAAATGATTGAAAATCCTTGCATGTCTTCACCTTTTATCATATAAATATATGTGTTGAATATACATGTAACCTTACACACGTGAAAACTGTATATATCACTATCTAAATGTCGTTTCTACACAAATGATATCGAAATGTCAAGGTAAATGTACATGGAATCTATAAGCACATCAAGTACACATATTGTCTGAATCGTTATGGAATGGAATGATTTTGTCGAAAATACGCCCTCTTTAAAAACCTTGAAAACAAGTGCAATTATAATTCTATAATAATAAGACAGAAAATAGGAATCTTATAGACTCTAGAGTACTGAGATAACGTATTAGTATAGTGCATTAATTGTTTCATAAATAATGAACATTGAGTATTAAAATACCTTATATGTAGTAAACCGAAAAATAATAAAAAGTGCATCGGATGCAGCAGACTCAGAAAGCTTTTCTAAAACGTACTCTTATAGAATCAGCTAACTGAAAGTGTATTGATACAGTTAATGTCGTGTATCGATTTGAAGCTAATTAAAATCGTATCATAGAATTAGACAATTAATTAATTGTATATTGATAGTCAACATGTTAGACAATCAATTGTATATAAATACAGATCATCCATAGTGTATTTAGCTAGGTATCCTGACAGTAAATTCAGTGTTTTTGATTGAGCTTACCTGTGTAATCGAGTGAAATTTTATATGTTTTTAATAAATTTTATTTTTCAGGTATTTTCTTTGATTTAATTATCATTTTCAGAGTTTAAATTGAAATATGTAAATAAAGATTTATTTCATTCAAACTATAAATTAAAGTATGTGTTTTGTTATTTTATCATTTATGAAGTCTTACAGGTAAAGTATTTAGTTATCTTTTGGGTTTACCTGTAGATTTGTAGTTATTTATAGATCTGGTTAGATAGTGGTCATTCTGGATTGGTCAGGTGATTTTTAGGAGGGAATTCTATTCTTGTTTTTCATGCCCAAGCATTCTGATGGGTGTGTATGTTCTGAGACATTTTTAGAAGTTTTGGTTTGATCAGTACTTGATATTCCTAGTTTGAAATAAGTATGGACTGAGATTATTCCATTACCAGAACTCGAACCATAATATTGAGACAGCTATAGACAGCTGAGTTTTTGTGTATAGCAGACCTTTGCACCTCATGGGAGGTAAGGTTGATTGTGTGTTGGTAGAAAAATGAACACAGCATCATTTTTAAATATTGATGAAGTATAAGCTATTTTTGAAAGTATTTAAACTCATTTTTTTATTTGTTCAATTCATGTAATTTGAGAGTTTTGCATGAGGTTATCTGTTATTTAAAATTTACCTAGTTTGTGTTCATCAGAAACTATGAATATTCTAAGCTTATTAATAATGAGTTGTATGACAAACATTGTTGTTAAAAAGGATAATAGTTTACATTGGAAATTTTGGTTTTATTTTATGTTAAAACTGCTTTGCTTGTGAAAATTTGCATGCAGAGTTATTGTTCTTGTATTTATAATTTTAATACGTAATTACAGGGTCATCTATCTTTACCATAATGGGCAATAGTCTACCATCACAATAAACCCACGTATTATAAACCAGATGGAATGTGTTTGAGTTGTTGCTTATTTCCACCCGGTTTCAATGGCGCCCAGCGGAATTGTGATTACTTGGTGTGACAACGCCCATTTTTCATTTCCGGAAACATCAGTTCCACAGTGAAAATTCTACGACTTCCTTATCTGTGTTTACTTCCGGTTGTGATTTAGTACACGTGAAAGACTACGATTTTCCACTGGACAGCTGATTGAGGTTTGAAAATAAAACTTTTTGACTTGTTTCATTCTACAGCAGTTATATTTCTTTACAAGTTGACATGTTCCTGTTATTCGCGGACAATTATTTCTGTTTGTGAAGCTGTATGAAACATTTATTTGCAGTAGTGACAGTCCTAGGAAACATGCGCTCAAATTAGACTTGATTTGTTTACAATTTTGCTTTTCTCAAAGTGAATATTTCTGACTCTTTTCGAAACAAATTTTGATTATTTTTTTTCAGGGATTTCAGCAGTATTTGTGCTTATTTTTCATTGAATTGAATTTATTTTGTTTATTTATCTTTATTGATTACTTGTGTCTGTCGTTGGTACTTTATACTTATATACACATACAGACATACATTTACTACAAGGTCAAGGTTACCGGATCCGGAAGTGAGGGTAGTTAGTGTAAACAAATCTTGAAACTTTTATTTTCTTTGTGTTTACATATTTCTTTTTTCAGTTTGTGCATTTATTTTTTTTTAATTTAGGAAGTTATTTTTTTCCTCCATATTATTTTGAAAGTATACATATATCCCATTTAATTTAAAGTTATTTAAATTTTTATTTGATATTTCAATTTCAGTTTAGATAATTTGACATAAATAACTAAAGATAATTAACATTACATTTACGTCAGGAATTTTGAATCAAAAATACTGAAATCTCAGTTCAAAAATAAATTGTTAGATAAAAGATAGGAGAGCCGCTTAATCATACAATACCTCTCACCCAACATCTTCCATCTCGTAAAAAATTGAGTTTTAATTTACAAAGCTCATTTTTATAAGTCATTATATACATATACCCGGTACTAATACATACTTAGGCCTGTCGTTCCGTAAGGAACATAGGCCATTGACGACAGTCCTCCAACTAACTCGATTCTGAGATGCTTTCATTGCATCCTGCCAGGTTGTATCCTGCATGTGCCTTTAACTCTGACTCCGAGTCACGTCTCCGTGTATTTCTTAGATGTCCTTTTTTTCTTTTACCCTGTGGGTTCCAAGTCAGGTCCTGGTGTATGATGCTGGACGGTGAATTCCTTAGCGTGTGTCCAATCCAGGCCCACTTCCTCTGTCTTATTTGTACGTCCATTTGTCCCTGTCCTGCTCTCTTCCATAGTTCTTCATTTGAGATCCTTTCAGGTCATCGGGTGAGGAAGATGCGCCTGAGGCAAAAGTTGTAAAATGTCTGGATCTTCTGTAGGGTTGCTTTGTTCAACCTCCAACTAACCTCCAACCTCTGCATCTAACAATAGGACGGACTTTACATTGAAGCTGAGGATACGTTGTTCGGCGGTAATGCGGGTGTTCTTTGAGGCCCAGATGTTCTAGATCTTTACCGAGGTCCCATGTCGCAGTAGGTGCTGGCACGCAAAGGACCCCTCATTACATGATTAATGGGCGTAAGTGCCGAGTATATGACAAAATTTGCAGCTCTCTACCGGTAAGTGGTGGAGTATCCAAATGAGTGAAAAATTATCGAGAGGGACGTTAAACAACATACAATCAACAATCAATCATGTTAATTTTGAAACACGTTTCTGTCGATGGTTTTGCAAGGCGAGTTGTTTTATCCTGCATGTGACTGTGGTTGTGTGAAAGGAGAGCCAGGTCATCGGCAAAATCAAGATCAGCGAGTTGCGTCAAGAGTGTCCACTGTATACCATTCTTCCTGCCTGATGTGGTAATCCTAATGATCCAACGCAGTCCTTGAGACTGACTGCAGTAGTGTTATTGCTGATGAAAAGAAGGACTGCTGATGACCCTGAATTCTGGAGTAAGGGAGCAAGAACCTGATGTTATGACCAGGAGAATAAGAAATGGGGACAGCAAGCATCCTTGTCGAACTCCTGTCTTGACCTCGAAACTCTCAGACATCTGGCCACTATGCATGGGCAAGCCTGCATATCATGCCTTGGTCGGTGTTTCGAATCAGAGAGACGAGCTTCTCTGGTACTCCAAATTACCTCAGTATCCATCTCTCGGTCCGCGCTGTCGAATGCTTTCTCAAAGTCGATGAAGTTGACATAGAGGGGGAACCTCCACTCCAGTGATTGTTCTATGAAGATGCACAGACTGGCTATCTGGTCAACACATCTTTTGACTCTAAAACCAGCCTACTAGTCATGGGCATTGGATTCACTGCTTCTTACGTTTTCTCGAGAATTATTCTGTTTAGGAGCTTGCCAGGCACTGACAGGAGCATGACTTCCTCTGTAATTACTGCAGTGCCTCAGATCTCCCTTCTTTGGCAGCTTAAAAAGGATGCCTTCTTTCCATTCCTCCGGAATGTTCTCTTCTTCCCAGATCTTATTGTTCAAGAGGTTGTATAGGGTGTTAACGGCTGTCTCTGTATCAGCTTTGATGGCTTCTCTTGATATCTGATCAGGCCCTGTCGCTTTTCCATTCTAAAGTTTGTTATTTGCTCTCCTGATCTGACTTTGTTGGCTTGTCGCAGTTGATAGGGAGGTCTGTATCGGAAGTGTTTCTGGTGTTGGTCTATTTAATAGCTCTCCAGAGTGTTCTACCCACTTCTTCAGGTGTTCATCTGTTGTTGTGAGAGCCACTGAGAGGTTTTCCGTTCTTGTCCTTCACTGGCTTGTCTGTCTGCTGGCACTAGTTGGAGAGCTACTCTGTGATTATATACAGTTCTTTCAAGTTACCTTATCCTGCTGCTTCTTCAGCTTGTTTGGACAGGTTGTCGATGTGATCTCATTTATCTTTCCTGATGCTTTTCTTAACCTCTTTATCTGTAGTGTGTAGTCCTCTTGAGCTTTTGTTTTGGCTGTTCGATCTTGTCTTGGTTGTTTTCAGCACTGGTTTCTTTTCCTTCCTATCATCCAGTTTCCTCATGGTATAGAGAGATCCAATTCCTCCTATTACAAGCTGGTTGAGGAAACATAGTTCTGCAAATCTCTCACCGTTGGCATTCATGTAGCCCAGTCCTTGTGTGCCCATGACTGCATTGTAGCTAGTGTTGTCAGTTCCAATTTTGGCATTGAAATCACCAATAAGTATTGTCATGTCTTTCTTTCCTGTTTTATCCAAGACTGCCTGCAGTTTCTGGTAAAATGTGTATTTCTTTTCCTTGTCAGCACCATTTGTGGGGGCGTAACATTGTATGATATTCATTTTGATCTTAAATTTCTTGGTGTTAAACTTGGCTGTCATTATCCGGGTGTTGATAGGTTAAATTCCCATCCAATAAGAGAACGTTGAGCTTCCAGGGATAACATCAGGCCTATACATTCGGTGTGGTGGGCTAGCTCCCTCCTCGGTGTGTCCTGAATACAACAGTGTTTCCCCGGTGGTTAGCCTCAGCTGTCCTGTCTGTAGCCACCTTGTCTCACTTAGTCCTAGGAGACAGATGTTGTAGTGCTTCATCTCCTTTGCCACCTGTGCTGTTCTTCCTGCTTCATACATTGTTCTGATTTGATCCACGTTGCAAATCTGATGGTTTTCCTGGTTGTCAGAAAGGGAGTCAGCTCTGCAGTTTTCTTTCGGCTTTCATTGCACAACATCATAGTTCCCCTTGAAGTAGACCCAATCTGACCCAGGTTATGTAGGTTTTGGCATGTCATTGTTGCTTCTGTAATTTGAGGCTGTTTTATATAAGGCAAGGTTGTTGACCATATGCAGACTTCTAGTAACCTCTAGGAAAGATGGTCTGATTTTGGATCGAGTTTCTTTCCTAGACTGCTTTCCTTCCCTGCATAGGCGTCGGAACCGGGAGGGGGGGGGCTTACCCCCCTCCACTTTTTTTTGTTGCAAAAATAGACATTAAAGTTAAACTTGTTGGATGTAATTGGTGTCCATAGATTGGATTTACCTTTTTGGCTTTGTTGTAGCACCGCTTTCTCTTTTTTGATAGTCTTTTCACTTTCCGGTTGATCCACACCTGGTTAAATCTTTCACTAATGACTTTTGATGGTACATGTTTCTCCATGGATATTGATCACTATTTGTGAAGTTATATCCAAAGGATGTTTCCTTCACCTTTCTCTTTATATGGAATTCCTCGCAAGGCAGCGGAGGTTTGGAATCAGTTTCCCTTATATCTTAGATGGTTTCTATATATTTGGCTTTGCTGAGGGTGTCTATATATGCGATTGTATCATGGTCGCTTATACCTGGTATACCTACACACCTGTGCACTAGGTTAGGACGATTTGTTAAAAAAATTTCTAAAGTTACTTCGTCTCTAGGTGGAAAGTTAATAATTTGATGGAGTCCTGTGTCTGATTTTGTATGGTTGTCAGGGGCTTTTTGAGGCCCAGGCATAAGGAGCATTTTTTAGACAATAAGAGCTTTTCTCCATTGCCATCCCTTTGCTATGACAACCTTTGGAACCAAGTCATTAGATACATCTATCATAAATGGTTTAATTTTGGCGGTATGTCAATAGGAAAATTGGCTCCGATGCCTGCATTTTGGGAATGACACGGGGGATATCATCAGTATAGAAGTACACAAGTGCTGTATTATAAGAGATAAATCAATTGGTACATGGACTAATCAAGTATTATCTTGTCTGTGACTGTATAATGAGTAAGATCACTGTACAGCGTTGCGATCAAAACACACAAGAAGTCTTAACAATTTAGATCGGGTTCGTTGTATCAATATATTCTACTTTCGTTTTTCTTGTTTGTGAAAAAATGTCAGAAAAACATGTGGCGTAATGTATCTTTTGTAGAAAGAATAGAACTTGATTTTTCGGGAAATTTATTTAACCATGCAATTGTTCTTGGTGATGTAGATAATGATCAGGTAAACATGTACAGATAAAGATATCTGAACACGGGTTTATAAATGCTCAATGAGTGATCACACACCGTGATATCCAGGGTCTTCGTTTATAAAATTCATATTGATATATAAAAAAATACCTTTTATGTGCCTGTAATTGAAGGTTTGGGGGTATATAATTTTTGTCCTTTTTGGCCATCTGTCTGTCAGTCTGTCTGCATAAATTTTAACCTTGCCCAAAGCTTTTGAGTGGGTGGGGCTGTATGTCTTTCATATTTCACAGGTGTATTTCTTGTTACAAGACCTTTGGGTACCACCAAATTTGAACTGTTGACTTTGACGTTTGACCCACTTTTACAAAAAAAATGGAGTTTGACCTGAATATGAGAAATTCCAACTCTCGCAATTAGCTTCCATATGTGGGAGGGGGGATCAGCTAGTGTTTTACAAACACATCTTGTTTAATATATCAGTAGAATCATAGATATTTATAAACAAAGATTATAGTACCTGTGTTCATTGCAGTTTTATTTTAATTGACCCAAAACTGTAGTATTGAAAGATGTGAAATGAGAAAACAAAAAGGACGTATGAAAAACAGGCCACATTTAGGACATGTCTTCAAAGAGTTTAGAACTTGATATTTAAAATCTGTACAACATTGGTTTTTACAGGGACACGAGTTAGTTGTTGGCAATACAGATGGAGAACTGGCCATTTTTAAGGGAACCTCAAGATCTCCATGGAAGAGGTGTTCTGGTCTTGGAATGGTGCACTTCACTTTTTTTTTTAATTTTCATAGTACAATCATGTATATAATTACCTTGAAGGCTTAGCCAAGTTCAGTACAATCATTTAGAGAGAATAAAATTTGTATCTAAAGACAATTTAAGCATGATGTTATCTTTCAATCTGTCCATTCACTTGTTCCATCATAAATGTATACTCGCATATTTTATACTAAGTAGTGTGCTTTAAATTTCATTTCTGACATAGGGTCTAATTTCAAGATGGCAGTGCAAGTATTAAATAATATGTTTTGTTATTGCAGATAACATGCATAGGAGTTGGAGATGTATTCAATAAAGGAAAGGTAAAAAAAAGAGTAATTAGGTGGTAAAGATACAATATATTACCGTATCAGTGGAAATTTTAGCGAGACGCAAATTTAGCGATAAGTCCTTAAAAACTTGTATTTTATTTTTAATGAGAAGTAATTTTGCCAAAATTAAATCCTCGCTAAAAATTCTGCTTATACGGTATTTTGTAGAAGATGAATTTGAAACTAATTTTTATAGGAAAACCTACAACAGTTACATTACTTGAAATTAAATGCACACACATTGTGTAAATGTTTCAGAATGTATTGGTTGTGCTGACAGCAGAAGGGTGGTGTAATATATTTGATATCAAGTCTGAGCCTGCTACAGATGTAAGTCATAATATAACAGTGTACAGAGTAGCATCACAGCCATGGCAAATGTTCCTTGTTTTCAGTTTACATGGAATGTCAAGCATGATTTAATAAAAACAGATTGCTTTTGACAAGCTTCACTTGTAATGTAAAGGCAGAAAAGTTTGAATTGTACAAAGATTCCCTTTTATTATATGGAAGACCTGCTTATTACAGACTACTAAAGATCCGGACACAGTTGGGGAGAATATAACCCCCTCCTTTACTCAGCACCTCCCAGCCAACGGTAAAGTTCTACTGATAGAGGACGTTGGTGAGTCATCAAATATTATATTTACATATAATACATAAATGTCACTGTCAGTGCGTAATGAAAATACTCTTGGATGAAAATTAAAATTTGCATACCATACTCTTCTGTATTTTTATCAGTCTGATCATTTCAGGGAATTTCACAGGAAAAAAAGTAACCATAGAACAGAGCAAAAAAAAAATATTGAAGATTTCAAGTCAAACTGAAATGCAGAACACATCAGTTATTTTCTTCTGGTAACAATTAATGAGAATCATTATATTTGTGTGGCATTTCTAGATGGGGATGGTAAGGTTGAGCTGACAGTGGCGTATTCTGATCGTGTGGTGCGGTGTTTCCGATGGAGCACCGTGCAGGATCCAGAGACAGAAATCATCTCAGATAACCTGATACAGACTCAGAAATGGCAGCTAGCGGGACAGGTCTAGCTCTCCTCTTCTCTCTTTCTCTCTCAGAAATGACTTAACATTTTGTAAGAAATGTAATGGTTTCTATAAAAAAATATAAAAAATTCTAATGTAAATTTATCAGGAAAATGTCTACTATAATTGATAAGAAAGGCAATCAATCTGTGATTGTATTTTTTTAGATTAGTTCTCTGACCGTGAATTTTACAGAAGATGGACATCCAGAACTTCTGGTTGCTCAGCCTGGAGGAGACTATGTAACAATGACCTTTAAACAGGGGTCAGAAATCGACCTCTCTGGTAATGAAGGGTATGTGGATTCGTCAATAGATATTGAAATTATTAATGAATGAAAAAAAAAACAATTAAGTTTTGAATGTAACACATCCAATGTAAATGAGACACAAACATATGTGTCAAATATATCTGATTGTCATAAAAAATTAATTTTACAAAACTGCAGCATTCATGAAAGAAACTCCATGAGTCATGAATATTTGCATTACATTGTATTTATAAAATGGATTGTCACAAGATAAATGTCATGTTATGATACATATATCAGAGAGATTTTGTGACAGGTATAATGAGGAAGTATTGAAGTCTGATCAGAGGGCGAACCAGACGGTATCTACAGAAATCCTGGGTGGAATTTCCAAACAGAGAACAAAACAGCCGGGGACCTACTACGCCATCTGTACCCTGGATGGTCAGTCTGATTTCTTTCACAAAAATAGCTGAACATGTGGTGATAATAAAATTTACATGTATGTTAATTGTCCATTATGAATTTTTGTTTACAGGTAACTTACTATTAGTGGAGAAGAAACAAATTCTCTGGTCTCTACAAGTTGATCATCAGCTGTTCTCACTGAAGAAGTTGGATGTCACAGTTAAGTCAATTTTCCTGTTAATTAGATACAGTATAACTTTGCATTCTACTTATACTCTGTTTACTTTCCACCAGAGAGTTAATTTAACAACTGCTATTTGATGTGTTGACAGGGTAATGGTAAAGAAGAGGTGGTTTGTTGTTCCTGGGATGGTCAGACATACATAGTCAATCACAACAGAGCCGTCGTTAGATATCAATTCCAGGAGAACGTCACCGCCTTCACAGCAGGTAAGTCAGACGTACATTGTCAATCACAACAGAGCCGTCGTTAGATATCAATTCCAGGAGAATGTCACCGCCTTCACGGCAGGTAAGACAGACGTACATAGTCAATCACAACAGAGTGGTTGTTAGATATCAATTCCAGGAGAATGTCACCGCCTTCATGGCAGGTTTGTAAATTGAAATGGCCCACTTCTCTTTTATTCAGCTATCATAGCTACATGAAATCACAGCCAGTTTAAAAATTTAAAATCAATGCCCCTTCCCCTCCTCTCTTCAGCTATTCCATATACATGAGATTATAGTAATTTTTAAAAAATATGATGAAAAGTTATAGTGAAAAGACTCTTCTACATTGTAGGCCAGAATACTGTAATTTAGCTGGCTGTTAGGTGATTTTATCATTATTACACATTTGGCTAGTTATCGATATTAATTGTAAGTATGTTTTGTGTTATAGGGCTTTATGGAGGAGACAACAACCCTAGCTTTGTGTATGCTACCTATAACAATAAGATTTACATCTACAACAACATACAGCTGCCCCAGGTGGAGTCTACTAATCTAATAGAAGTGATGGAGAGACGAGAGAACACGCAGGAACTGTTAGAAAAGATCGGATTACAGGGTAGGTAAAGTCACGGAATCAAATTCGTAGAAATTATTTAAGTGTTCTTAGAAGAGTAAAATTTAATTAATTGGTTTAAAACATTTGTTCACAAGTACTATTACCCTGCTACCTACTTTACTATAATTTGTAGATCCACATCCAAGTCAGCTACGAGATTTATACCATTGGTTGTTGTATGGATGGAGGGGCTACACCTGAAATTGACATTGCCTTTAATACTTAGAAGAGAGCTATATGACTTAGGTGTGATGATAAAAAGACCCAGGTGTTTTCCTTTGACCAGCAGATAGCAGTCAAAAGGATTCCTACACATATCTATTATTTTACTTTAGATGCTATAAAATCACTAATTTTTGTGGGATTTGAAGAAAAATTTCTTGTTGCTAAGATTTGATTTGGTGACTGTAAAGTGTAGAGGTGGTATTCATTTACATTTCTAAGAGGACACGAGTTTGTAGGTCTCTGCATTCCATGGAAGCAACAAAAATCAACAGGCGTATTGAAATGATTCACATGTAGTTTGATCTCAACTTTTGAAAGTTCTTCCTTTGTTGATAACATAATGTAGCTGTTTATTCAATATCTGAGTTTATTTTACTGCTAGTCTTTTCAGTAGAGATTAACTTCACTTGTTTAATATTTGAATATAATATTTTTATTTGTTTGATATTGACAATACCACAGAATTTTTTGTAAATTTGCTTATGTAGAATGCCTTCATTAGTAATACTTAGCAAATCTTTTCACAAGTCAATATAAAAGATTTTAAAATGTGCTTATGTAGAATGCATTATACAAAAAAAATTGTGTAATTATGTATTTCTTTATAAAATTTTAAAGTTTAAAAAATAATATATCGTAGGATATAAATATATATACTGTCTCTTTTCAAAAGAATTTTATTTTTAATATCTTTTATAGGACGTTTTCATAAAATATTACTTCTGAAAACAAAGAGAGATAACTCTAAAATTTTGGTAAAACTTGTGTTTTCCCTTTCAACTGAAAACGGTATATTTTTACCCCTCCCCCCCCCCCGTGTCACAAAAATTCCTTTTTACGGGTATCCCAGCACACAGCCTCACCCTGGGGCTCTGTCTTTTGGGGCACCTCCCAGGGCTCGGTCGTGTTCAGTGTCGTGAGGTACTTCCGATTATTGACCATCCAGTAGTAGATCTTGTGGTGTGTCCTCAGCACAACTTCCCGACCGTTTTTCAAGAGCTGGTATTATGTCCCCTCCTGTTTAGCGCTGGTATTAAGTTCATCAATTACCATTGGACTGTTCTTTGAATTAAACAAAGATTTTATGACCAATATTCAGGGTTGTGGAGTTTGTGATGTTGTAAGATACCAACAAATTTGGGAATTTTATGGGAATTTTATGTTGCAAAAGAACAATAAAAAGAATACTGATTATTATTTTAGTGATTAAAATTTTAGCGGGCTTCTTTCTAAAATAAACCAAAATGAGCACCCCGCTAAAATAACCCGCTATAGGGTATACTTATATAAATGTCTGTGGCATTTTATCAGGAATGTTTAGTCCCCTGTGGGATCGACCATCAGTGTTTCTGTGTCGTAAACATCCCAGCTGTGGAGAAAACAGTATTCGTCAATATTAAACGATACATGGAATAATCTAAAAGAAACGTCACAACTACTATTAAATCTTCAGTTATTAAAAGTTAACAAAATATTTATATCCATGGTAACAATTGAGAAGTGAAATGCGTGGCGGATATTTTCTGGGAACCTGTGAATTTTGAATATTAAATCAAATGTTATTCCAAAAGCAATGTAAAAATATTCTTTTTGTTAACATAATTACGCGAGGCAGTTTTTGCTCTCGCATAATTATTTAAAGTATATGCAATTTTTTTTTTATTTTAGCATCAGTCAAAATGTTTGTATCATTTTGTAATGACCCACAGTGATTAAATATTTCATGGCGGTTGTGCCTTTACTGTTTGATTTGGCAGTCCTCGAATATTTTAAGTGAATGATAAACTATGATAAAAGATACTTGTAATGAAGTTTTGCGAGGAGGGGGAGTGTGTCGTTCCCGGAAATAACATCCGGTTCTTCTACCACGTAAATGTTCTTGACACTTCCAGCGTCACCGTAGTTCCCGCCAACGTCACCTATAAAAACACCAAGTTTCAATGAGTATGGAGATAGCATTGCTAACCAAAGGGAACAATCTTGAGGAAAAACAAGAAATTTTCCTGAAAAATTCCGATAGTCCCATGGACTGTGATTTTAGGCTGTAGGAATGTGATCGGTTGGCTTATTTGTCATATGGTCAAAGACTGTTTTAAACAAATGAAACAAAAGTACGTGAGAGTAGTTTTCATAGATTTAATATCAGATTTGATCAAATTCTTAAGAACATAATAATAATGGTCGAATCAGGAATTAAAAATTGTTCTCACTTGTGATAAAAGCGTTAATACCCAACTTAGCTACAGAACTGTAGTTCTCCGAAAAAATATATATTGATAGACCGGATAGCTACAGTGCCACCCATTGAAAAAAAACTGTATACTTATTGCGTACAAAAAAGTGCGCTGTTTTTAGCTCACCTGAGCCGAAGGCTCAAGTGAGCTTTTCTGATCAAAGTTTGTCCGTTGTCTGTCGTCGTCGTCGTTGTCGTTGTTGTCGTTAACTTTTCACATTTTCATCATCATCTCAAGAACCACTGGGCCAATTTCAACCAAACTTGGCACAGTGTATCCTTGGGTGAAGGGGATTCAAGTTTGTTCAAATGAAGGGCCACGCCCTTTTCCAAGGGGAGATAATCATGAATTTGTTAAAAATTAATGGCATTTTTAAAAAATCTTCTTCTCCAGAACCGCTGGGCCAGGAAAGATGAAACTCATGTGGAAGCATCCTCAGGTAGTGTAGATTCAAGTTTGTTCAAATCATGACCCCCGGAGCAAGGGTGGGGCCAAAATGGCCGACCCAAGTTTAACATAGGAATATATAGGAAAAATCTTTAAAAATCTTCTTCTCCAGATCCACTGGGCCAGGAAAGATGAAACTCATGTGGAATCATCCTCAGGTAGTGTAGATTCAAATTTGTTCAAATCATGACCCACGGGGCAAGGGTGGGGCCAAAATGGCCGACCCAAGTTTTACATAGGAATATATAGGAAAAATCTTTAAAAATCTTCTTCTCCAGAACCACTGGGCCAGGAAAGATGAAACTCATGTGGAATCATCCTCAGGTAGTGTAGATTCAAGTTTGTTCAAATCATGACCCCTGGGGCAAGGGTGGGGCCAAAATGGCCGACCCAAGTTTTACATAGGAATATATAGGAAAAATCTTTAAAAATCTTCTTCTCCAGAACCACTGGGTCAGGAAAGATAAAACTCAAGTGGAATCATCCTCAGGTAGTGTAAATTCAAGTTTATTCAAATCATGACCCCCAGAGCAAGGGTGGGGCCAAAATGGCAAACATTGTTGAATTTTCACGAGAGAAAGAAGATTTATTCGATCACTGGTTTAGATCAAGTTTTACATAGGAATATATAAGAAAAATCTTTAAAAATCTTCTTCTCCAGAACCACTGGGCCAGGAAAGATGAAACTCATGTGGAATCATCCTCAGGTAGTGTAGATTCAGATTTGTTCAAATCATGACCCCCGGGGCTAGGGTGGGGCCAAAATGGCCGACCCAAGTTTTACATAGGGATATATAGGGAAACCTTTTAAAATTTTCTTTTCAAGTACTTCAAAGCTATGATTAGTGATATTTATATGGAATCATCCTCAGGTAGTGTAGATTCAAATGATGAACGCCTGGAGGGGGGGGGGGGGAATAAATTCAAGCCCGATGTGCTCAGGTGAGCGCTGTGGCCCCTGGGCCTCTTGTTCGATTTATTTCTCCATGTTTTCAAAACTGTCATTTCAAAATATTACTAACCGTGTGTTCCTTACATATTTTTTCACTGTTTCCACAACAAAACATTCTTTATGATTGTTTTTGATAGCCCTCCTGGTCCTGAAATTGAGATCATCGAAAATTTCGCCTATTTATACTGCCATTTTGGTTTGTAAGATAATGGGTCCAACGCGCTTCGTACAAATGTAAACTACAAAAGTATAATTTATAGAGGAGTAACGACTTTATTGAAATCTAGCTTTTTTGCAACTGAGGTAAGAATTTTTAAGAATTAATCCACAAACAGCGCACTTTTTTGTGCGCAATAAATATACAGTTTTTTCAATGGGTGGCACTGTAGCTCTCCGGTCTATCAAAACATATTTTTCGGAGAGCTACAGTTCTGCAGCTATACCCAGCTAAAACCTGGTTTTAAAGTTAATCAGTTTATACATGTATGTTCCTTTTTTGGAAAGGGAGGTGAGGGGCTTTGTTCACCCGCCCAGCCCATCAACTTGTACATGATGTACAAAATAAAAACCTTCAGTACGGAAAACATTGCCCTACCGTCGGATCACAGGCACCCGTTGTGTGGATACTCCCCGACCCCCCCCCCCCCCCAATTAAAAAAAATACAAAGAGCATTTAATCTCTCCAAAATATGAGATATCCACGTCTACGATATCTATATGTTGATCTATGTAAGAAGATTATTTTCTTACGTTTCTAGATTCTCTTACAATTTTTTTAAGTAAAAAGGGGGGAGCTATCGATTAACACTCGAGGCGCCTGTGGTCGGAGCTTCTTCCACAAAAGTGCTATTTTTGTATTACTTTTTAACCCACCAATGTAGATGCAAGATCCTGATCCTGAGGGACACACGCCTACCGCCATATCCTCCCAGTCATGGTGAGCAGCTGAGGGGATATCGTACACCGCTAACGTCCCGCCACCCTCTGAGTCCACGGCAAAGATCCGCGCCCGATCTCCGCTATCATTGTGGGTGTACAGCACACCCGGATGTAACCGACTTGCAGCTAATCCGGACGCCTCGTTAATTTGAATGTCGGTAACCTTAGCCAAGTTTATTCCGCGTCCAAATATGGGAACTGTAAAACACAGATTGCAAGTTTATACATGTCTTTGGAAAATTGTTTTAGTTAACAGTGCAATAATTTCTTTTCCAAATACAAGTAATTACAAGTTAAAATTGATGCAAAGCATCAAATCGGCCGCAAACAAAATTAAGCATTAAAAAAATTTCTTTCACAATTTTGAAAGCGTCCATGCAACTGAGGAAAGCTTGTCAAGATATTCAAAGGTGAAATAGTTGAATCATTTTTATTTCAGGCTATAGCTGTCTTCAAAGCAAAATAAATAAGAATTACATAAATAGACATTTTACTGCATTTGCCCATAAATAGATTATAATAGACAGATAATAGATTCATCGATGTAAAAAAAGGTAATGATCATTGATGAGTGATAAGAATTTATTGTCATCAAAATGAAGATGAACCACGTCCTGATACCCTCGATCTTGGTCACGTGATAATGCCTATGGTTTCTGCAGAGTATGCTATTCTGCAAGCCGCGGTGAAAAAATGTAGAAAAAATATCTTGGTGTCATTTACAGCATATTCAAAGCACTTTTTACTAGTTGAAAAACTTTTCAATTTTTATTCACCATGCAATTTTACCACGTCATTACTATCCGGAATCATGACATCATGACGATTTCCTTTCATATCTTACACACTCCCAGTCTGGGGAGTATCTATTGTATCCTCTTTTTATATAACCACAAATTATCAATTATCCACTGAGACATAAAAATGAAATTGAAATATAATAACAACAGTTAATACTAAGTTTAAAGCAAGTTTTTAAAATATTTTACTCATGATTTTTACATGTCATTGAAGAATTCTATTTTATTGAACTTATAAAAAATAACGTCTCATTTCCCCATGTGCACATTCTAACAGGCTGGTAAGTATCTATTGTAACCTCTTTTTATATAACCACAAATTATCAATTATCCACTGAGACATAAAAATGAAATTGAAATATAATAACAACAGTTAATACTAAGTTTAAAGCAAGTTTTTAAAATATTTTACTCATGATTTTTTACATGTCATTGAAGAATTCTATTTTATTGAACTTATAAAAAATAACGTCTCATTTCCCCATGTGCACATTCTAACAGGCTGGGAAGTATCTATTGTAACCTCTTTTTATATAACCACAAATTATCAATTATCCACTGAGACATAAAAATGAAATTGAAATATAATAACAACAGTTAATACTAAGTTTAAAGCAAGTTTTTAAAATATTTTACTCATGATTTTTACATGTCATTGAAGAATTCTATTTTATTGAACTTATAAAAAATAACGTCTCATTTCCCCATGTGCACATTCTAACACAACTACAAATAGATCGGCCGCTGCTGCGGCCGATAATTATTCAAGTACTTTCAAATTTTATATCAGAAAAAAGTTGATTGCTTCTTTGCTCTTTGAGCTAAAGGCTTACAGCTAATCTTTTCGAGATGGGTGATCTCGTTAGTAAAGACGAGATCACCCGTGGGTTTCCGACGATGGTCTTTTCTGATCGTTTCCGGCAATCGATCTGTTTGTGTGTCGTTGGTAAAACTTTACCCTTTTCCAGTATAACATGATGCTTCTTAAAGATGAGTGGTTTAATATTTTCTTTATAGGCACTGTGGCCCATTGGGCATGGGTTTTTTAAAGTTTTATACCAAATACACACTTACTACTGGTGTTTCCTTCGGGCTGAATGTTTAAGGCACAGCAGTCTTCATTGTAGCAAGCAAACAGATGCAAAGAGTAGCACTGTTCCGCGGGACAGGAAGTGTTCAGGTCCCGGAAGCGAGGGGGCGGGGTCTTCACACATAGCCAGTGTTTCTTCTGACCAGCCGACACACAGTAAAACAGGAGCAAGGAAACTATTGATAAACAAGAGATGCTTGTAAAACACTTATGGCCCCTTCCCCAAATAATTAGAATTTTTCTAAGTCCTAGGGGCATAACTCTGTCCAAAATGGTCCGATCGTACCCAAAACAAAACATGATCTAGATATTCTCAATTATGATAAATCTGTGTACCAAATTTCATTCCAATATGTGCAACCTCTGCGAAGAAAATGAAGGGAAACTGCAAATTATTGGAATTTTTCTAAGTCCAAGGGGCATAACCCTATCCAAAATGGTCTGATCGTACCCAAAACAGAACTTGACCTAGATATTCTTATGTTAAATCTGTATACCAAATTTCATTCCAATATGTGCAACCTCTGCAAAGAAAATGAACGGCGGAAACTGCAAATTATTGGAATTTTTTTCAGTCCAGGGGGCATATAACACTATCCAAAATGATCCGATCGTACCAAAAAACTTTGACTAGATTTTCTTATGATAAATCTGTTATACCATATCTGTATACCAAATTTCATTTCAATATGTGCAACCTCTGCGAAGAAAATAAACAAATTTCAACTGATGAATGGAGAAGGAAAATTGCAAAAATAAATTAAAAGAACAGTTCGACAAATTCAAAAGCACACATAAAGACCATTAATCAATGCACATTACGACCGACATGCAGCAAAGCGGTTGGGGTAAAATTTTAAATTGTTTAAATCATGACTTCCCTTCTTTTTTCTAAGGGGGGCATAAAAATTTTGTCCATTATTTAAGAAGATTTATATCACTGTACTTACCCCTCCCCCTTAATTTCCATCCCCATCAATACTTATGGCGATATAAATCTTCTGAAATAATGATTATTATAGTGTATGGGGAAATGCTGGGTACTTATCTTTTGGGGGTTTAATTGTAAATACAGAGTAAGTAATAAGTATCATAAAATGGCTAATTTCAATATCTGAGAAATCGGAGAAAAATTGCAGAAATAAATCAAAAGAACTCGAGTTCGAAAAATAAAATCCAAAAGCACTGAAGTACACATAAAGATACACATATAGTTAATCAATGCAATAATTTATAGCATTACGCGTTAAAACTGCAATGCTTAATGATATGTGTATCATTAAGCGGCGTTTTAACATTAGCGGTTGGGGTATTTAGATTTTAAATTGTTTAAATCTGGACTCCAAGGGGAGGAATGGGGCCACATTAGATAAACTAAATTTTCCATTAAAATACCCGGTATATAGGAAAGATCTTCTCAAGATTCACTGGACCAGGAAAGGTGGAACTTCTGTGGAAGTACCACAGGATAGTTTAGATTCTAAATTGTTAAAAAATTCAAATCATGGTCCCCCGGGGGGGGGGGTCATATTATGAAATTAAATACTTCAAAAATCTTCTTCTCAAGACCCTTTATTTTCATTTGACTCAAGCCTTATCGGTTCTCAGAAGACATTAAATTATATTTTGACAAATTTGAAATTCAGTTGGGGTGTTCGTTTTCTGTTACCACCTTGTCACGAACGTCACGTTTCAATCATCATTAAAAAGTGGATGATAAATGTTCTTAAATCGGTGATTATCAAAATGTAACATCTCTTGTATGAATAAAACTTATACATCACTCATAAATAATGTGAATTTTTTATTCATTTACAAAACACGCACTAGAAGTCAACAAATTTATTCAAATATAGGGACATTTAATTAAAATTAATTAAAGTCTATGAATTTTTTTGCTGTCAAATATCAAAGGGTTTTCGCAGAGTTGTTAAAAGGAAAATCTTGTTTTACCTTAATTTGTCACGAGAAATGGATTGTGTTGAAAACGCACGCATGGGCCGTTAGTAAGCGAAAAGGGGGGGGGGGGGGGAGAGGACACACAACTATTTTTTTAAAGGCACTACACAGAAAAAGTCTTTGACAAGCAAAAAGGGTAATCAAACGTTATTATTATCGGCACATCTATAAGGGGGCTTTGTTTCTACAGTATACTTCACATCAGCAAAATTTTTCGGGAGGGGAGAGGTGACAAGTTCTAAGCTTATAACATGGTTTACCGTTAATGAAAATATATTCTGTACTTTGAGATAATTATAAAGTGTTTTGTATGAATATACTCCTTTTGTTTTGCGAAAGCATTAAAAAAAGATAAATGATGAAATTCATGTCAAGCTTTAACCCCCCCTCCCCCCACACACACAAACACCAATGAGGTTTCATTATTTTAAGAAACCTATCCAATCTTAGCATTTGAATAGCGTATTCTTAAAATTTCTGAATTCGATTATACCGGTATTTCTTTTTTCCAAATAGCGCATACATGTATTTTCAATTTAATAAAAATTATACTCACGTGAAAGATAGCTCAACATCGCACTCTCAAAATGTATTTTCTCTTCTAAACACAGGCTCGTCTTAAGTGCACAAGATTTATCTATGCTAATTAATGCACTTGTTGATGTGGGAATTTGATGTTATGTAATTTGTTTCTTACCAATCTGAATTTTTGTTTTAATTCATAAAAAAAAATTCACGTTTCCCGTTTTCTGATAATTAATTCGTCACTTGATGTTTTGATCATTGAAACGGTGACATTTTTTTGTTAACTCTGATGTCACTCAAAGAGATTATTTGTACATTAAGGTAGTAAATGACAATGATGAAAAATATTTTTTACACGATTGTAAGTTCATTTTATAATTCATTTCAATTTGTGTGTGTTCATCTAAAATTACACATTTCATTTCTTTTTTAAAGATTAAGTGTCAGCCTATGTCTTGGTTTCTGATAATAAAAATCAAACACCAAAAGCACAAAGGACATGGGTGAACATGACGTGAGATAAGCCCATAGCGCAACAAAATGAAGGTGAAAAATTAAATCTCAATTATATCAATAATTTCCTTAATATTTCATCTAAAATTAAAGTATACTTTATATGTAAAATCTCTATAACTTGCACAAATTTCATAAAGGTTGAAGTTATTTGCTTATGAAATACTGTACACACAGGAAAGAGGACAAAACGAGTCATTTTTTCACACTATAACACTATTTTTCGATATGAGTGGGTCTTCTCTCCATTTTTTTGAGAGTTAATCCTCAAAGTTTGCATACAAACATACATATATTGGTTTCCAAAATTATGGAGCAAAGACCCACTATACCTTAAAAATATAATTTTATGACATAACGTTCGTATCTTTTCAAGAAATACTTGAAGTCCCTTAAGTCAATGGTCATATCACAAACATGATTTAAATGCCACACTTCATCAGGACTTGTGTAGCGTAGTGGTTAGCGTGCTAGTCTCAATAGAGAATGCAACTCAGGATTTTTATTGCCAGGGTTCGAACCCAATGGATACCACATTATTTTTTGTTAATAAAAGAATAAATTTTAATAAAAAAATTTCCTCAAAACATATTGTTTATCATGATTTCATAAAGAACAATGATAAGAACTTGACTCTAAATACTAAATTCACAATTTGAATATGATTTTTGTATATCTGAAGCTAGTGGGCTTTCTGCACGCTAAGTTCACCCATCTCCTTTTCGATGAAAGTGATTTTAATATCAGTAATTATAATACTAAACACAAATATGTAAAATACCATATTTTCGTGGGGTCTAAATTTTGTGATTTGTGGAAAGGGGGGACTATGGGTTCAAAGGGATTGGATTTCGTGGATGAAGAATTGTTCAGTAATTATGTATATTATATTTTATATTTTGAGACATGCATGAATTCCTGGGTCTGTAAATTAAAACCCCACGAAAATTTGTGATTTCACAGTACCAAAAATTTGTTAAAAAAGCGACTTTGTCCATTCAATTTTCCCACACATATTTCATGTTTAACGTTATCATAAATTCTTACACCAACTCGCAGAATGAAGTTCTGTTAATTTAATACCTTTACATTCATATGTTCTATACGAAATATTTTTTATTGTAAATAAAACTTTTTCACTCTAAAAACCAGTATAACTTCTTCCTCTGTCTTTCTGTGACCTGTCCCACTTGGATTTTCAGCCCTTTCTTCCTACACTCTCCAGGCGAGTCTGTCCCACTTAACTTTCCAGATCTTTCTACAGTTTTTCAGTAAATCAATCCGACTTGGATTTCTAGTCCATCTTTCCTACACATTTTCAGATTTTGAGTGGATTCTTAATCCACTTAATGCAAATGCCAATTCACCATGAAGATTTAATGAAGCATTTTCTTCTGTAGATTATTAATGGAATGACAGCATTTAGATTTAAAGCCTGTTAAGGTGAACAATATTATAGATGCTAAATTGGACTGGTATGTTTATGCAATACTCTAAAGTATGTGTTATTTTTCACTCCTTCTGGGTTGTACCAATACCGGATTTCTTGACCTGGAAAAAGAAAATAGAAATGTAACTTAATCTTATAAATACTAACATTTATATGAAATGAATGTATATCTTTAATAATCTTTTAAAAACTAACAGTAAAACTTTGTCAATAAGAACTCAGTTATAAGGAAATCGGGTTATAACATTCTTTTTTAAACCAGATACTTTGCACTACTGTATAACAGGAAAATTTTTGCCCCCGTTTAATTTTCGCCCCTTTCGCCCTAGTCGGGCGTGGGTGAATTTAAAGTAAACTGTATAAAATCTTAAACAAAATTCTTTTTGGGCGAATTTAAAACGGGGCAAACTTGTTTTCAGATGTGAAAGGGCGAAAATAACACGGGGCGAAAATAACCCTGTATACAGTATGTTCTTAATACGGTGAGCAAAAAAAAATTGTAGACACTGACCCTTGTGGCAAATCTAAGTGAGCTGAGGGTCTCCTCAAAACACTCCTCCTTGGGGGACACATGGACTAGCATCACCATCTTACCCATGTCCCCTCCCAGGGAGTTCTGGAGGAGGTGGGTCAGCTTAGACTCCCTATAGGGGATAAATCTAGCCTGTGAAAGAGGAATTTCATACTCAGTTATTGTGACAGATACCTGTGCATGCAATATATATAAAATTTGATAGCAGTTCAGTTGTATATGAATAAAACTTATTCCAAATGATAGTCTGAGAAGTGATTATATTGCTTTCCACACTTTAAACTTGAATATTAACTAGGATTTCCGTTAAAACATTATTCCCTGTTATATATAATTGGTCTGACAGTGTATGTACCTTATTAGCGATAGCCATGAAGACTGTCCTCAGTGCACTACAACTCCTGCCAATGGACAAAGCCTCTTTGAGTTGGGCTCCTCCTGAATTTGATGCCCCCACTCTCTCACTGCCACCTGAATCCACTAAGGTCAAGGTTCCTGAAAAATGTAAGGAATGCCTATAATTACCATTGTCTTTTATAAAAATACTTTTTATACTAAAACTGAAAAACCATTAAATTAATCATTGAAGAAGGAAAATTACCAGTTTTTTCGTGCATTATTAAAAAGGTCCTTTATGACATATGGCATATGTACATGCAAACAGTGAAATTCAATACATTTGACAAGTAAGTAAAGAAGTGGAAAGTTACTGATATAGACAATAAGACCAACAACAGATTGAAGTGGAAATATGAAATTTTATTTTAAAACATTTTAAATCTACACTTAGTCTTACCACTCCGGGTTTCCTGTGTGTTTTTGTTGACCCCTGAGATTCGGAGTTGGAACACAGTTTGGCTGCGTGAAGCTCGCTCATCATACTTAACCTCTAACACAGAACGGGTGTGGGAGGCTTTACGCAGTAATTCATGCACCTAAAAATTATTTTCACAACATGTATGGACAAACTCATGTATTGACAAAATATTGCTAAACATTTGTTCAGTCAATATAAAAGAAACTTTAAGAAAGGTTTGTAAATGTTTCATGAAGATTGTGCCAGAAGCCTTAGTTATATTAAGTTTGAATTTTGATACTGATAACAAAATACTCTCATATACAAGTTAACGTGTAATTCTAAGTAAATGAATTGAAGATGGCATAGGTACATATTGCATATAGACCTGTATCTGTAAAACATTTTGTTGGTGTGACCATTTCATTTGAGAGAGAGATGTTAAGCAGAGAAAGAGAGAGAGGAGAGAAAGAAAAGAAAGAGAAATAAGGAGACAGAGACATAAATTGAGATATATAGGTAGAAATAAGGAATTGAGATAGAGAAAGAGAGAGAGAACCTTGCCCCCTAACTACCTGCCATCTTCGCTAGCCAGAGGTTTCTGATACGCTGCTCTCCTGATAATGAGAAGATTAGTGTATCAGAAACCCTTGACTGGCGAGGATGTCTACCTGCTCCTTTGATGTGACCGGTACTGTCGTTAGATTGGTCACCATCACACCTTTCTGATCATCTGATCCTGACTTCTCAGACTTTTTGATTTGGTGTTTTACGTCATCGCTGTCAGTTCCAAGGAGATCTCGAATTCTCTCTTTGTAAATCTTTAGGAATGAAGCTTCTAATTCATACTGCGGTAATATAGATATAAATTCTCAAAATTGTGTGGTAAACAGACTAAATATGTATGTACAAAGAGATGGATTGAATAGATGTCAAAGTCTCTACTGGAGCCTAACATATCTCCTACAATCAGTTTCACATGCGGTACATTATAGCCCTAGATACTGAGAACATTGCACTTTCTTCCAGCCTCAGAGAGTTTCGTATCAGGGGCCAACCTACACTTTAAGTTTTAAGAGACACAATCTCTCTTGAAGCAAATCAGAGATCCATAATACATGTACTTAAAAACACATTCTTCCATTCTTTTATTTTTTATCCATCTACAATAACTAGCATTAGGTAACAACCAACATAATCCGGACACTGTACACCACTTGTCCCTATATCTAAATGTAAAAGAGCTTCCATATAGCGCTAGCTATTTAAACATGAGTACAGAACTGATTCCCCCTACCTGCCACTCTTTGCTGACCAGATCCTGGATACTGTCAAATATCTGCCCCACGGCCCGAGGGATCATTCCAGCATGTTTATGGCTGAATTCTGAAGGTCCCTCCATTGTGTGTGTCTTACCAGAGCCAGTTTGTCCATAGGCAAAAATACAGACATTGTACCCATCTAAAGCACTCTGTAACAGAAAGACAGACATTGTACCCATCTAATGCACTCTGTAAAAAAAAATACAGACATTGTACCCATCTAAATTACTCTGTAACAAAAATTAATACAGTCATTGTACCCATCTAAAGCACTCTGTAACAAAAATACAGACATTGTACCCATCTAAAGCACTCTGTAACAGAAATACAGACATTGTACCCATCTAAAGCACTCTGTAACAAAAATACTGACATTGTACCCATCAAAAGCACTCTGTAACAAAAATACTGACATTGTATCCATCTAAAGCACTCTGTAACAGAAATACTGACATTGTACCCATTTAAAGAACTCTGTAACAGAAATACAGACATTGTACCCATCTAAAGCACTCTGTAACAGAAATACAGACATTGTACCCATCTAAAACACTCTGTAACAGAAATACAGACATTGTACCCATCTAAAGCACTCTGTAACAAATATACATTGTATCCATCTAAAGCACTCTGTAACAAATATACATTGTATCCATCTAAAGCACTCTGTAACAAAAATACTGACATTGTACCCATCTAAAGCACTCTGTAACAGAAATACAGACATTGTATCCATCTAAAGAACTCTGTAACAAACAATACAGACATTGTACCCATCTAAAGCACTCTGTAACAGAAATACAGACGTTGTACCCATCTAAAGCACTCTGTAACAGAAATACAGACATTGTACCATCTAAAGCACTCTGTAACAGAAATACTGACATAGTACCTATCTAAAGAACTCTGTAACAAAAATACAGACATTGTACCCATCTAAAGTACCCTGTAACAAATATACATTGTACCCATCTAAAACACTCTGTAACAAACAATACAGACATTGTACCCATCTAAAGCACTCTGTAACAGAAATACAGACGTTGTACCCATCTAAAGCACTCTGTAACAGAAATACAGACATTGTACCCATCTAAAGCACTCTGTAACAAAAATACAGACATTGTACCCATCTAAAGCACTCTGTAACAGAAATACAGACATTGTACCCATCTAAAGCACTCTGTAACAAAAATACAGACATTGTACCCATCTAAAGCACTCTGTAACAGAAATACAAAACATTGTACCCATCTAAAGCACTCTGTAACAGAAATACTGACATTGTATCCATCTAAAGAACTCTGTAACAGAAATACATTGTATCCATCTAAAGCACTCTGTAACAGAAATACAGACATTGTACCCATCTAAAGAACTCTGTAACAGAAATACATTGTATCCATCTAAAGCACTCTGTAACAGAAATACTGACATTGTACCCATCTAAAGCACTCTGTAACAGAAATACTGACATTGTACTCATCTAAAGAACTCTGTAACAGAAATACATTGTATCCATCTAAAGCACTCTGTAACAGAAATACAGACATTGTACCCATCTAAAGCACTCTGTAACAGAAATACTGACATTGTACCCATCTCAAGCACTCTGTAACAGAAATACAGACATTGTACCCATATAAAGTACCCTGTAACAGAAATACAGACATTGTACCCATCTAAAACACTCTGTAACAAAAATACTGACATTGTACCCATCTAAAGAACTCTGTAACAGAAATACAGACATTGTACTCATTTAAAGCACTCTGTAACAGAAATACAGACATTGTACCCATCTAAAGCACTCTGTAACAAAAATACATTGTACAGTAAAACACGGTTATAGTGAAGTCCTGGGGACCTGTGAATTTAATTCGCTATATCCGTAATTCGTTATATCCGTATAACGAATTCGTATAACCATATATAGCGAATTCGCAATATGCATGTTTTCCTTCAAGTGTTACTATCAAATATGTTAGGGAAGCAAATATTAAAAAACATACCTTCAATAACCAAGGTTTTATTATGAATTGAATTTTATATAAAAATGCTGAGAGAAAATAAAATCAGTTTAATTATTCAAATTTTGAAATCTTTGAAAGTTCGTTATAAAAGATGTAAAATTCATTATATTTAACCTCAACGGGATTCAAAATCAGTTCGCTATATCCGTAAATTCGTTATATCAGAGTACGTTATAACCGTAAAATTTTTCAAAGAATTTTGCCAGGGACCCAGAAAAACTTCGTTATATCCGTGAATTCGCTATATCCGTGTTCGTACTAAACGTGTTTTACTGTATCCATCTAAAGCACTCTGTAACAGAAATACAGACATTGTACCCATCATTTTAATTTCCAGGCCTTCTTATTAAGATCTCATTCCTACAATGTTCAGGGTCCTTGGAAAAAAATTGTGTTATTGCACCTGGCAGACATTATATTCATTAATCACGAGGGTACTGCTTAATGCAGTTACATGTACCCGTACCTGTACAGTGTGACGGACTTCCTCAAACACCTGAGCTTGAGTGCTGTCAGGGTTAAATACTCTGTCAAAGGCAAACTCATACTTATTGTTTCCTTTACTGTCTGTCAATGAATCCTACAGAGTAAATAAGAGAGGGGATAAAGAATATTCTGATACTGATTATACATGTACTGATAGTAAACGAAGTCTGTGAGTCACAGACTGGTAAAAACTACACTGTACTTTGTTTTATATTTTTAAAAAACTTTTAGCTAATAAGATTAAATGAACAATTTTTCAATAATCAAACTGTCATATTAATTATCAATTAATGAGGTAGTTAAGTTATACCCACACTGACCTCACTGTGTGGTGAGAGGTTTTCCAGCACCAGTATCTTGCCGTCTTTGTCTGGGAAACTCAAGTGACATATCCTACCATCATTTCCCAATAACTCATCTCCGAGCAGAGGACGAACTCGACAAAACACTCGCCAGACATTTCCCTAAGAAATTCACAATAATAACACTGATAAATAATTCTTTATGATAATCACAGCCTTTATATTTTTAAGATACATGTACAAGTTTTAAAGTTGATAGGGAGATTTTGTTACATTTTGCTAAGAACCTGCATGGATGACATCATGTTGTGTTCTTTGACATCACGACGTCAAATCCAACGTGTAGCTACAAGTTTAGAACGTGTTTTAGTTTTACGCTGTCTACATGTACGACATAAACGAGTAAAGTTATTGATTAAGTTCTTTCCTTGATCATGTTGATTCAGTTGATTGATTTTTTAAGCAATAAAAGAACACTATCTCAAATTTTTAATGAATAATTATTGAATTTTTTTTATGATTCAACCAAAGTCATTGTATTTTTATCATGAATGAAATTAAATTAAACTGATACTGTAGTTTCATTAATTTTCGTTGGCATCAATTTTCATGGATTTTGTACAACAGACGTTCGAGGATACGTAATTTCAAGGACAAAAGCATTGCCTGTACAAATGAATAACAGATTTCTTCATTCAATGAACATTGAATTTTGTGGATCTGCTCAACAATGAAATCCTCGCAAATTGGCGCTTAAGGAATATTGATCAAACCACAATACCTAGCAGCATGTCTATTTTGTACGCAGGATTCATTTAAAGAACGCCCTGCCAACTTTTAATCTTCATTCTGCTACTTTTTCTTCAGAAATGAACCATAGTACGAAGTATTTGAGGCAGGCTATTGCTGTAACTCTTCAACATCTGAGGTTTAAACGAATGGGATATTTCTATGAAATATCAACAACTCTATTTTTTGTTGGGTTTAAAACTTTTGAAAGTAAGAAACAAAAGTTTTATATAGTGTTTATAGTGATGGACTTAAAAGGATGTCCAAAGGAAAAAGTAGAAGCAGGCAGCTAATTCATTTCAGTCCGTATTGATTGAAATGAGCGGCCAAAGTTGGGGCAAAAAATCCCTAATCACGTTGTACACGACTGGGCTGAAATGTCATAGGGACACCAAAACAAAGTTTTTGGTCCTTACAACATCTCACTGAGATGACAAAATTTATATTCTAAAACGAACCTTACTGAGATAAGACCGCGGAACATTAACTGGCAAAATTGGAAATATACAGCTTACGTCATTTCTATCTGTTACAATCAAAACATTCAGTGATAGACAATGTAATGGGCGGGTACAATTCGACGCGGACGTTTGGAAAACATCGGATTGAAATTGCAGATCGAAATTCATTTTCAATCCACCTCAGCTACGCTAGAAGGCACATTATTACTGATTGACCCAGAAGACAAATAATTTCAATTCTGGTACAGTTTGAATTTTTTTGTCTAGTGTTTTAAGTGAATAAATATTTAAGGGACAAATATTTCATTTCTGTTCGGTAAATACATGTATATCTTAGTGTTGGTGGGGGGGGGGGGTGAACGATTTTTAAATAAAGTTGTCCAACAGTTTTTAGTGTGAAAATAAGTATAAAACTCATGCACTCTTATAATCCTAGAAATAAAATATATTGTCATGTTAAGCCACGACATTACTCGACAATTTTTACCCCCCCCTTCTACAATCAAATATCTCCTGAAAAATAATCTTTGTCTTGTATGACCTTTCGCGTTCTTAAAATTATAAGCTTAAACTCATATTAATGTGAACTTCAAACAATATGTATTTGGGAGTTGAAATATAGTTGATTTTTGGATCATACATTCACTCTTTGCTTTGAAAACAGCTCAGGTGGATTGAAAATGAATTTTGATCTGCAATTTCAATCCGATGTTTGCCAAACGTCCGTGTCGAATTGTACCCGCCCATTTCGTTGTCTATCACTGAATGTTTTGATTGTAACAGATAGAAATGACGTAAGCTGTATATTTCCAATTTTGCCAGTTAATGTTCCGCGGTCTTAACTCTGGTCAGAGATGTATAACTGAGGGATTTAGTTCCTTAATTTGCTATAAAACTTGTTTTGATTTGTGTTCAAACACAGGCACCTAAATTTTTATCAGTCAGACGCTCAATAAGCCAAATATCAAAAAAATGTATGCCCTCTATATATAATTACACCAGATACAGAGGGCATATAATTTTTTTATATTTGGCTTATTGAGCGTCTGACTGATAAAATTTCCGGTACATGTGGTCCAAAAGATGCATATCACTGTGATATAAAGTCAGTGGCATGTCTGTCCAATGTCAATGTCAGTTTTTTTCCCATTGTTAACAGGTCTGGTACAATCACTAGATTTAGCTACGTAGCTTGATTTACCTACATAGCTTTATTTACCTACCTGAGGTAGCTTTATTTACCTACCAAATTGATCTATTTCTATTAAAAAGCATTTTTCTCAGGGTGTGCAGACAATATCATTTTGATGCAGTGATCATTTTCAACTTTGAACTCATCTGAAAACAACTCATGAAAAAATCCCTCTTGGAAAAAAGTCTTTTCCTGTGCAGTTGCAATCAAAGTTCTGAAAGTTTTGGGGCTATGTATGACAGTTAGAACGGTTACTCCTTGAATGAAATGACAAAGAAGTCCAGTTCCGTTTAACACGATAATAGGTCGGTAATTATTCAGCACAATGTGAAGTAATCATACTCAGTCATGCCTCACCGCACCTCACCATATGGTCAGATAACCAAACAATGAAATTACATGTTTTGCTCTAAATTGTCCAAACGCAGCAATGTATAAACTATCTCTGCTCTGGATTGTTTTTTAAAGCCTTCCTATTATAAATATCAATAGTCATTTAATTGCGACTTTTTGTCTCTTTTTAATAAAAAGAAAACTTTTGAAAACTTACCTAAAAATAGCTAAATAAAGCTACCTAAGGTAGGTAAATAAAGCTACGTAGGTAATTCTACCTACGTAGCTAAATCTAGTGATTGTACTGGACCTGGTTAACGATCTCGAGATTGGGCCCACAGAAGCTTGACGTTTTTAACCTTTCTTTTCATTTCATAAATAAAAATACCCCCTATACTATAATAATAAGTTATTATTATTGTATAGGGGGTATATTTATTTATGAAAAGAAAGGTTAAAAACGTCAAGAGCCTGTGATTAGGCCCTTTTATCGTCGATTTACAATAAAGGGAGTTACACTAATGTTTTTCACCTCTGGCTCTGCCATGTTTTGTAGGGAAAAGTCATACACAGTCCAATAAACTTGTGTGAAAATCTCCAACTTGATATTCAGCACATAGAAACATGATAAATATTGAAAAGAAATCTTGTAAACAATGTTTTTGTTGTGATCGGAAATACAAGGATGGACGGAACTACCAAAACCCGATGCGTTTAACGTATTTTATTCCGATATTTTATAAAAAAAAAATTTTATATTTGTTTTGAATGAAAGACCAACGTTAAGAAACCCTGAAACAGATTTTTGAATTTTGGAGAATTTCCCACTTTTTTTTTTAAAATTGAGCTTGTCTGAGTGTCATTTTATGTCTTTTCCCTTTCTCTATCACCCCCCCCATTTGTCAAAGATATTTTCCGTGCTATAGTTGCTCAATATTTTTTTTCCAGGCTGCTCATGCTCTCTAAACCAATACTTCATCCACATATGCCTTTACACAGAGTCATCGCCAAGTTTCAGAAAAGGGGGGTAGGGTGGTGGTGATTCCCTCCTCAGAGGCAGATTTTTTTTTTTTTAAATGAGAACTATTTGGGTGGATTCTTGTAGTCATGTTCTTGTTAGCTTCCCTATTAGACTCAATTCAATGTTTTGATAGGTGTTCTGAGTGAGACATCTTTTGGAGGGGGGAGGGGTGCTTCACATACAGTGACTGCCCTACAACTCAAAGGTATCTTCAGGTCCCTTTTACTGGTAGCAGTTCTACTTTTCAATCCGTCAATCAACAAAAGGATGATATCAATTCATGAAACTCTTGTTCTCTCAAATTATATGTGATCAACTTTAAATGCTATTCAAAATTTATGCATTAAAAATAATCAAATAAATCATAATTGTTACATATTTTATTTTCTAATGGTGTATGATGACATTGAAATAGGACAATTCCCAGTTAAGCTTGGACTTTCGGTAAGGTGTGGCATTTTCGACATTACATAATTAGCTTGAAATTTACATAGCTTTCTTTCACTGTTGAAATATACATAGGATAGAAATTCGGCTGAATGTCAAATCGTGTAGCAAATAGCCAATTAAATGTTCTCGCACGACACAGAGGCGGGGCTTAAGTCATCTCATGGTTGTCAACAATAATTCAAAGTTCCTGATGTTATCAATTTCTTAAGTTGACCAGTGAGAATCTACTCCCCTTTTGACAGATGCTAATTAAGTTGCACCAAGAATGTCATGCCTTACTTAAAGTCCAAGCTTACCTGAGAACTGTAATATTTGAGGGATATAGAGGAAGAAAGAGGATACAGTAGAAAGATAAGAATTACATGGACATGTAGCTATTGATCTGAAATTCTTATATACAAAGCTGGGCAAATACAAACATCACTATAGCACAAACACCCATACAAACACCCATAGACATAAGCTGTGTTGCAGCTTATTTTTGTGGTTTTAAAACATCTGGGTAAAAAGTTTATACAATAGATGATTCTCAGCACATGATAATTGTAGTCTGTATAGAGGCTAGCCAATCTGTATTCAAAATTATCTGCTACGTATCATGCATATAAAAACTTAAGCATCAAATTTAGATAATATTAAAAACCAACACCTTTATAGGCAAAAATTAAAAATAATTCCTTCTGACATTTTAAAAACTCTGCTTAAAACAATTTTATCAACACTCAAAAGTAGGGATAATTCATGAACAGAACATACAAAGTGTGTTTGCATTAACATGAGGACTAGTAGTGGAAATACTCCTGACAATACTAGACATATACTACTTGTAATTCTTTTTTTTTTTTTACAGTGTGAAAAATATTTCTTCATTCTAATAAAAATACTTCCTACAAAGCAATGATTATTTTGATTTCTTTTGGGCTGTACCAGTACTACACTGGTTAACCTGAAAGAGAAATTAAATACATGTTAATATAAATATTAATTATTTTTATGATAAAACCTACGCTATTATACAAATTGGAACCAAAATGAATTCCAGGAAAACCAAACCAAACCCAACCAGCAGTAGACACTGACCTTTGTGGCAAACCTGAGGGAGTTGAGGGTCTCCTGGAAACACTCCTCCTTGGGGGACACGTTGACAAACATGAGAGTCTTACTGTTCCCTCCCAGGGAGTTCTGGAGGAGGTAGGTCAGCTTAGACTCCCTGTACGGGATGTAGCCATCCTGTAACAGATCAGCTTCAGTTATCATAACTAATAATCAGAAAACATCAATTAAAAGACCAAAAGAAGTCACTGATTCTGATGATTGATTATTCATGTTATAACTGATCGTCTGATTCACTCATCTTATAGAATGCAATAAGGACATTATTTTTTTTTTCCACTTTACATATGCCAGAAGGAGAAAATGGCATCTAACACAAAGTAAATGTGATGTATCATGAAAAGATCAACATACTGACATACAGAAAGTGCCTGAGCAGCAAGACAACTGCTCCAGAAACTTTAACCTGCTCAAAAACATTGTACCTTGGCATCATTTTCTATCATTTACCCAGTGTTTACATTATTAGAGATGGCCATGACTTTACTTAGTGTTTGTACCTTGTTAGCTATTTCTATGATGACTGAGTGTTTACCTTGTTAGCGACGGCCATGATGACTTTACTGAGTGTACTCAGACTTTTGTTGATGGCCTGCGTCTCTTTAAGTCGGGCTCCCTCTGATCCTGATCCTTCAGTCTTTCACTGCCAGCAAGATCCACCAAGTTCAAGGTTCCTGGTAAAAATAAACGAATGTATACTTTATTCAATGATCAGATGCCAGGACTATCTTTCTGACCTCTGGTTCATTGATAAATTGCTCATTTAGATATAAATAAGAGGGAGAAAAGTTACTGTCAGAGATAAACCAGGATCCATAAGTTCTAGTTTAAGTGTTGTTTAAGTCTAGACTTACCAATACAAGCCTCCTGCGTGTTTTTGTTGACCCCTGAGATTCGGAGGCGAAACACGCTATGACTTCGTGATGATCTCTCGTTACACTTGGTCTCGGCTACAGCCCGGTTGTGGGAGGCTTTCCGCAGTAATTCATGAACCTACAAATCATGATTACAAATATTTATATCTAAGTATTATATGGTTTCATATATGTGGTTGGCAACCAATACCTGGCTTCATATAATCCTAGCTAAAATAAATCTGAATGAAAGCATGGAATACAAATTAATGCTTAACACACACACTTTATTGTAATTATATCACACTGCTTATGAACATGAGAATATTTTTAGGTGTATAAATATTACTGTGAAATTTTCATCTCAAGATAATGTTATGAAAGAAAAAAAAATAATTCGAGAGAGAGAGAGAGATATAAAAGAGATACAGTACATAGAGAGAGAGAGAGAGAGAATATTGTCTTTTTACCTTTTCCTCTGATTTGACTGCCACTGATGTTAAATTTGTCACCATCACATCTTTCTTATCAGCTGATCCCGTCATTTTAATATCATGTTTTAGGTCATCACTGTTGTTTCCAAGGAGATCTCGAATGCTTTCATTGTAAATCTCCAGGAAAGAAGCCTCAAATTCATACTGTATAAAACAGAAAAATACTAAATCTCCTGACCTGACAACAAAATTAATGCAAAACAAAGAAAAGCTGGAGACCAACACCTTGAGGTTAAAATTGCGGAAGATTCTCATGTGTGGATACCGAAAGGTATTCAATAGGGTCTGTACTTAAAGTTATAAACTAAGTGTTGGTGATCTGTTTTATACTTTTAAGTTTAACAAAATTAATGGATCAATTTACACTCAAAGTTGAAGAGATGTAATGTCCTCATAAGCAAATCAGGGAAGTTTTCACATTAAGCAGATTTAATTCTTTTTACTACAATTTAAAAACATTTTGGGGGTCCAATTTTAGTTCCTATCTCAATAATTATGACTAGATAACACAAGATACTGTACAATCTATACATATAGATGTATTTGATAGGTAAAACTGAAAATAAAATGAAGCCTACTACCTGCCATCCTTTGCTGACCAGACCCTGGGTACTGTCAAATATCTGCCCCACGGCCCGGGGGATCATTCCAGCATGTTTATGGCTGAACTCTGAAGGTCCCTCCATTGTGTGTGTCTTACCAGAGCCAGTTTGTCCATAGGCAAAAATACAGACATTGTACCCATCTAAAGCACTCTGTAACAACAATACAGACATTGTACCCATCTAAAGCACTCTGTAACAGAAATACAGACATTGTACCCATCTAAAGCACACTGTAACAACAATACAGACATTGTACCCATCTAAAGCACTCTGTAACAGAAATACAGACGTTGTACCCATCTAAAGCACACTGTAACAGAAATACTGACATTGTACCCATCTAAAGCACTATGTAACAGAAATACAGACATTGTACCCATCTAAAGCACTCTGTAACAGAAATATAGACATTGTACCCATCTAAAGCACTCTGTAACAACAATACAGACATTGTACCCATCTAAAGCACTCTGTAACAAACAATACAGACATTGTACCCATCTAAAGCACTCTGTAACAGAAATACAGACATTGTACCCATCTAAAGCACTCTGTAACAGAAATACAGACATTGTACCCATCTAAAGCACTCTGTAACAGAAATATAGACATTGTACCCATCTAAAGCACTCTGTAACAACAATACAGATATTGTACCAATCTAAAGCACTCTGTAACAACAATACAGACATTGTACCCATCTAAAGCACTCTGTACAAAAATACATTGTACCCATCTAAAGCACTCTGTACAAAAATACATTGTATCCATCTAAAGCACTCTGTAACAACAATACAGATATTGTACCCATCAAAAGCACTCTGTAACAGAAATATAGACATTGTATTGTATCCATCTAAAGCACTCTGTAACATAAATACAGACATTGTATCCATCTAAAGCACTCTGTAACAGAAATACAGACATTGTATCCATCTAAAGCACTCTGTAACAAAAATACAGACATTGTACCCAGCTAAAGCACTCTGTAACAGAAATATAGACATTGTATCCATCTAAAGCACTCTGTAACAGAAATATAGACATTGTACCCATCTAAAGCACTCTGTAACTAACAATACAGATATTGTACCCATCTAGAGCACTCTGTAACAACAATACAGACAC